GTAGTTCTTTCTACCATCTTAACACCGAAGTAGTTCTTTCTGCCATACCCGTGACTCTTATTTCTCATCGGTGATCCCTCGTTCTGCTGTTCCTGCCTTTAAACATGTCTGCTTTGTCTGCTGTGTCACTCGTTTATTATGTCTGCCGTATTCCTCCTCTCCTCTGTGGTGAGCTTCCTCGGTCTTTCCTTGTAACTCAGGCCCGTCGGCTCTCACCTTTTCACCTGTTCTTGGTAAACCTGCGAATGAACGCTTCCCCCCTCCCCCTCTGCCCCGTCCTCCTGTCCCAGCTCCTGTCCCAGCTCCTGTCCCAGTTCCTGTCCCAGCTCCTGTCCCAGCTCCTGTCCCAGTTCCTGTCCCAGCTCCTGTCCCAGCTCCTGTCCCAGTTCCTGTCCCAGCTCCTGTCCCAGTTCCTGTCCCAGCTCCTGTCCCAGCTCCTGTCCCAGTTCCTGTCCCAGCTCCTGTCCCAGCTCCTGTCCCAGTTCCTGTCCCAGTTCCTGTCCCAGCTCCTGTCCCAGCTCCTGTCCCGTCCTTGCAGCCCTTCCATGTGCTGTATAGTCATACTGGCTTGGTGCTCTCTCCTGGTAATTATACTGGACACCTGTGTGTGTGTGTGTGTGTGTGTGTGTGTGTGTGTGTGTGTGTGTGTATGTGTATGTGTATGTGTGTGTGTGTGTGTGTGTGTGTGTGTGTGTGTGTGTGTGTGTGTGTGTGTGTGTGTATGTGTGTGTGTGTGTGTATGTATGTGTGTGTGTGTGTGTGTGTGTGTGTGTGTGTGTGTGTGTGTGTGTGTGTGTATGTGTATGTATGTGTATGTATGTGTATGTATGTGTATGTATGTGTGTGTGTGTGTGTGTGTGTGTGTGTGTGTGTGTGTGTGTGTGTGTGTGTGTGTGTGTGTGTGTGTGTGTGCTGCCCTCGTTGTGTAACCCGGTCGGTGTGTCATGGCCGCGGTGGACACCTGCTGGTAGTGGTGATGGGACGGGGGGGATGGGGGTGTTGATGGAGGTGATGGGGGAGATATGGTGGTGGTGGTGGTGGTGATGGGAGATGTATGGTGGTGGTGGTGATGGGGAAGTTATCACGGATGTGAGGAGGGAATGTGGTCAAGGGCAGGGGGGCCCTGGCCTCATCTGCCTCCCTCGCTCTGGTTCATGTCTGCTGCCCTTGTGGGCGTTGGCTGCCACCACCACCACCACCACCCAGTGTGGGCGTTGGCTGCTACCACCACCACCAGTGTGGGCGTTGGCTGCCACCACCACCACCCAGTGTGGGCGTTGGCTGCCACCACCACCACCAGTGTGGGCGTTGGCTGCCACCACCACCACCACCACCCAGTGTGGGCGTTGGCTGCCACCACCACCACCCAGTGTGGGCGTTGGCTGCCACCAGCACCAGTGTGGGCGTTGGCTGCCACCAGCACCAGTGTGGGCGTTGGCTGCCACCACCACCACCCAGTGTGGGCGTTGGCTGCCACCACCACCACCCAGTGTGGGCGTTGGCTGCCACCACCACCACCCAGTGTGGGCGTTGCCTGCCACCACCACCAGTGTGGGCGTGGTATTCCATCATTACTGTGAGCGCGGTGTCTCAAAAGTGGTGTTTGACCGCGAGCTGCCACCACTCTTATGGGTGTAGGGTGTCAACCAGGCAACACTTGATCTGGTGTCAGGCGACGCCGCGGCTCTGAGAGTGCCAGGTTAATAACGCCTTGAGGGCAGAGTGCCGCAGCCTGGGGGCACTCCCTTGCTGGACTCGTACCCAAGATTGACTATGTTAATGCGTCAGTTATACAATGTTTGTGATGTAACTTATAACCTGAGCTTGTAAAAGTATCTTAATCACCTTCAGTGGTTAAGGACTTAATAACATACTAGTTCCTATAGCAGCTATCTTACCCTGTCAAAGTAGGAGAGACATACATGTATGTGTATATATGTATATATATGTATAGGTGTATATATATGTCTATATGTATATATATGTATAGGTGTATATATATGTCTATATGTATGTATGTATGTGTATATATACAGGATATGGAAGCTGGTCAAAATTGCATTGCACCTTTGTAAACGCACATTAATGACATTATGTAAAAGACATATCGAACCCTGTTTATGTAGGGCAGACGTTAATCTGTGTATTTATGTATTTATGTATGTAGGTTACATTAGAATTTTAAAAGCATTACAATTACTTTGTGGTTGATTGCTCAATAAATCACTGAACTATATGTTTAACAGATCACTCACTCTGTCCATGGCGGACAGAAGAAAATGTATATATGCTGGTTAGCATTGTAAATGTCTGGCCACGTCTGTGGTAGAAAATGATTATAAAAAAAAAACTTGTCTCACGGGTGCTTGCACCTCCAGCAACCTTCTGTGTGTGTGTGTGTGTGTGTGTGTGTGTGTGTGTGTGTGTGTGTGTGTTTGTGTGTTTGTGTGTTTGTGTGTGTGTGTATGTGTGTTTGTGTGTGTGTGTGTACTCACATAATTCTGCTTGCGGGGGTTGAGCTTTGGCTCTTTGTGTGTGTGTGTGCGCCCGCGCGTGCGCGTGCAGTACTTACCTAGTTGTTCTTGTGGGGTGTTGAGATCTGACCCTTTAGTCCTGCCTCTCAACTGTCAATCAACAGGTGTACAGGTTCCTGAGCCTACTGGGCTCTATCATATCTACATTTGAAACTGTGTATGGAGTCAGCCTCCACCACATCACTGCATAATTCATTCCATTTGTCTACTATTGTTTACTTTGTCTACAACATCTTCAAGAGAAAACTAGACTGTTTTCTCCAAGGAGTGCCGAACCAACCGGGCTGTGGTGGGTATGTGGGCCTTCGGGTCGCTCCGAGCAACAGCCTGGTGGACCAAACTCTCACAAGTCAAACCTGGCCTCAGGCCGGGCTTGGGGAGTAGAACAACTCCCAGAACCCCATCAACCCGGTATCAACCAGGTATCAACCAGGTATCAACCAGGTATCAACCAGGTATCAACCATGTATTATGTGTTGTCGATCACCTAATGCAATGGCCGGCCGCCTTCCTATATTAATTAACTTTGCTTTAACATTGAGACTGGTGATATCCTTACCTACCCACTTACCCACCGTAGGTAAGGAGCTAACTCATTTTACTTCCCGCTCTCACTATTTACAAGTAGGTAGGTAGGTACGAGGCATCCATCAGTCTCAGGAGACTATGGAGTTGCGCTCTGGTTGTCGGTCTGGAGCGGCCTCACCAGGGCGCAAAGCCAGGGTAGGTTGATATGGAGTACAAGTACTCCATACAAGTACTTCTTGACGCTCCAGTGACTCAACTGTGCTTCACACTCTCACCCTTGAACATCTCATTTCGATTTACCTCATCGATTCCGCTTCAGAATCTTATCGATAATATGTTTTCTCTATTTCGTCTTTTTTGTCCAATGTTATGAGGTGCAGATTCCTCATAATCCAACTCTCACTAATTTTATCAAACATGTATAGTTTTTACGCTGGCTGGGATTCTTGAGATATATGCCCGGAATTCTGGGGGGGCTGCATTGTCTCGTACTGGTCTTATGTAGGTGGTAAACATGGGTCTGAAGACGTTCCTGCGTTTGGCTAGGCATTATATATCTTCTACGTTTCCTTTCCTGTCCTTGGGGTATCTATCCTACCTTAGGTCTCCATTCTAATTACTACATTTAATTGGGCATGTGATTATCTTGAGATGATTTCGGGGCTTTAGTGTCCCCGCGGCCCGGTCCTCGACCAGGCCTCCACCCCCAGGAAGCAGCCCGTGACAGCTGACTAACACCCAGGTACCTGTTTTACTGCTAGGTAACAGGGGCATAGGGTGAAAGAAACTCTACCCATTGATTCTCGCCGGCGCCTGGGATCGAACCCAGGACCACAGGATCACAAGTCCAGCTTGCTGTCCGCTTGGCCGACTGGCTCCCGTTAGAGAGCCATTGCTGGGCCATTGGTTACATCCACTCTGAGGTCCTTCTAATTTGCTATTTCAGGGGTCTTCTCCCCTCACAGGATGTCACGTTCATCGAACGTGAACGTGACAAGGTCCCGATCCCGTTCTCTCAAGTTTCTATTAACTTTCAGTATATCTGGTTTGAGGTCGAATATCCATTTCGCCAGCGTACCCTGAAGCTTATCCAGGTCGCCCCTGCGTCTTTGTACAATCCTGACGTCTGTTTTAGCTCTTCAGTTTTGTATTGTTTGCAAGCATGGCATTAACTTCCTCATTTAGGTCATTTACGACATGAGGAATATTATAGAAGCTAGAGACCCTTGCGGTTCTCCACATACCTCTTCTTCACATTGAAGTCAATTCTCTCACCGTAACTCTCTGTTTCCAACCAGAAGGGCACTATTTAAACGGCTTGATGTTGAAGATGGTGTATTTGATTATCTTTCGGGGAATTGTACCAAATACCTTTTGAGATTCCACGGAGACACAATCTGCTTTATAAAACTCTAGTGGGATCGTTCAGCAATACTTTCCTTATCTAAAGCCCCCGAGTGTGAGTGAATGTGTGTATACTTACCCAGTTGTGCTTGCGGGGGTTGCGCTTCAGCTCTTTGGTCCGGCATGTGTGTACTCACCTAGTTGTACTCACCTAGTTGTGTTTGCGAGGGTTGAGCTCTGGCTCTTTGGTCCCGCTTCTCAACCGTCAATCAACTGATGTACAGATTCCTGAGCCTACTGGGCTCTATCATATCTACATTTGAAACAATGTATGGAGTCAGCCTCCACCACTGTGTGTGTGCACGCGCGTGTGTGTGAGCATGTGCGAGAGCGTGTGTGTGTGAGCGCACGTGTGTGAGAGCGTGTGTGTGTGAGCGCGCGCTCATGTGAAGGTGTTAAGGTGTGCGCGTGCCGACCTTGCAGGACCCATTATAGCCACACTCCTGTAAGAGTCTTCAAGAACAGCCTTCGCGGGTGGGAGAAACTGCTGGGGGTGTAGGGAGAGAGAGAGAGAGGCGGGCAAGGTGGGGACAGTCGCAGTGGTGGCACCTCCGGAGCCACACTACTCTCTCACACACGCACCAACGGCCACACCCCCACCAGGCACTGGAGGGCCTGGCCCTACAGGTGTGGCTCCCCGGGGGCTCAAAGGGTCTAATGTTATACTTTGGACAGTGTTGCCACCACCGTCCCTGCCACCATTGTCCTCCTCCTCCTCTGGCAACATGGCACCAGGGTGGCAGTGTCCTCGAGTATATAAGGACACCTACCTCACCCTCCTGGTCACTCAGGGCCACTCACCGGCCCCGCCAGTGCCTGTACCTGGTGCAGCTTCAGCGGTGAGTAGTTTGTGAATCTAAACAGGTCTTTCCACGTTGATCAGTGTTTTGTTTCGGAAAAATACAAAAAAATATAAAAAACAGAAAATACGATCCGCCTGTCCCTCGAGTGGCTCCTGGGCGACCCGTCCTTCGACCCCGTCGTGTGTTGAGGACGACGCCTCCGGACGACGACTGTCCGTGCACTGAGTGAAGAGAAACAGGACGGAACTGAGACAGAGCAGGTCTCCGTGCGTGTGTGTGTGTGTGTGTGTGTGTAGTGGACGAGGGGAGTGTGGTCGTGGGGCCGCCCCTCCCTCCTTCCCCTCACCGGCGTCCACATGACGTTAACCCCTCGCCGGAGACCCCTCACTACAGCGCCCTCCAACGACAGCCGTCACCGTCGTGTCTCAGTGTGTACCTCGCCAGCCTCCCCAGCAGGAAGGAAGGAAGGGCTCAGCGTTTCGCAGCAGGACTGGTTGAGCCTGCGGCGATCACAGCCCTTCGACATCAGGGTGTCGGCCATGTCGACAAAGTGTACGACGATGCGGCGGAAGGGGCGACAGCAGCGACAGCGTCAGCTACACGTTTCTCCCAAGTCCAGAGGAGCGCCGCCGCCGTCGTCGCCTGCGGCAGGAGGGAAGGAGGTCCCAGAAGCGACGCCGTCACTCCCTCGAGGCCTCCAGCAGCAACAAACCAGTAAGCACTCTCCTTTCTTCCCCCAATACGCTCTGAGACAAGCGTTAGTCTTAGGGCGTGTATGTTAGGGCAGCGGTTATTGTTTGTGTCGCCCTCTTTACTGGTAGGCTCTAGTTACTGGTAGCCCCCCACGACCATGACTCCAGCCCGCACGACCATGACTCCAGCCCGCACGACCATGACTCCAGCCCCCATGACCACGACTCCAGCCCCCACGACCATGACTCCAGCCCGCACGACCATGACTCCAGCCCCCACGACCATGACACCAGCCTTCCCCACGACCATGACTCCAGCCCCCATGACCACGACTCCAGCCCCCCCACGACCATGACTCCAGCCCCCATGACCACGACTCCAGCCCCCCCACGACCATGACTCCAGCCCCCACGACCATGACTCCAGCCCCCATGACCACGACTCCAGCCCCCACGACCATGACTCCAGCCCCCACGACCATGACTCCAGCCCGCACGACCATGACTCCAGCCCCCACGACCATGACACCAGCCCCCACGACCATGACACCAGCCCCCCCCCCCCCCCCACGACCATGACACCAGCCCGCACGACCATGACTGGTACACAGCGCTGCTCATCAGCAGATAACTTTCTACTGTGTAACCTACTTCGTGTCTTCCCACCTTCTCTCTGGCGTGTTCCACAGCCTCCTTGAGTCCCTGTAGAGACGACAGGCTCGCCTGCCTTCACGATTTAAAGACAACAAATGCCTCAAAGGTGAGAGTGAAGTTGTGAATATTATAATTTGATTACTGCTTGTTAAGGGAGTTGTAAACATTACGCCCTACACGAAACACTCAAAGTTCTTGAGCCACACTCTGTATGAGTAAGAGATACAGTGTGTCTCAAGGTTGTTGTTATAAAGAATCTGTCCTGTGTCTAAGGTTGTAAGGCCAAACGCTCGTGGCTAGCCTCCCGTAGTGGCTAGCGTCGGCTCTAACCTCGATCTTCTCATTGATTAGATAGCTTGCATGCGTCGAGACTTCCCCAAACACGTGTTGTTGTTGTTATACAGAGCCTCCTAGTGCTTGGGAACTGACAAACTGTGTAAGATATGTAAACACAGCCGCCAAAGGTTGAGAAAAGGTGAACAGGTTGGTAAGTACTTGTGTGACGCCTTGGCGACTCCGGGTCCAGATTTTGCGTAGTATTTGTCGAACCCGACGCCGTAGTATTTGTCGAACCCGACGCCGTAGTATTTGTCGAACCCGACGCCGTAGTATTTGTCGAACCCGACGCCGTAGTATTTGTCGAACCCGACGCCGTAGTATTTGTCGAACCCGACGCCGTAGTATTTGTCGAACCCGACGCCGTAGTATTTGTCGAACCCGACGCCGTAGTATTTGTCGAACCCGACGCCGTAGTATTTGTCGAACCCGACGCCGTAGTATTTGTCGAACCCGACGCCGTAGTAGTTGTCGAACCCGACGCCGTAGTATTTGTCGAACCCGACGCCATTTTCCCGTCAGAAGAGCAGTCTGGAGGCCCTCCTGGTGATAAGGACTCCTGCAAGGTCATCATACTCCTGACGAATAATGGCAGGGTTTATTAGTTACAATGATAAAGTTGCATATGACCTGTAAACAAAGGTCATAACTCAGGTCGTGCAGCAGTAGTGTCTCGTCCTTATGAATGAAATATAGACACGAGTCACAGCTGACGACGATCGAACGTTTCTCAAAGAACCTCACCCGCATACTTTTAAATCTAAGTCATTTGCAATGGAGACAAATTACCTTACCTAACATTTATCTAGGTTCAAAATTATATATATATTATACAAATTTGTTTATCATACAGAGATGTGTCTGTGCGTGTGAGAGAGAGAGAGAGAGAGAGAGAGAGAGAGAGAGAGAGAGAGAGAGAGAGAGAGAGAGAGAGAGAGAGAGAGACCAAATAGTCTCTCAACACAATATGAGAGAAAACTTATCGTACTAAATGGGGGAGTGTACTCTGCTCGGCCGTACCCAGATGATGATGATGTGTGTGTGTTTACTAGTTGTGTTTTGCGGGGGTTGAGCTTTGCTCTTTCGGCCCGCCTCTCAACTGTCAATCAACTGTTTACTAACTTACTAACTACTTTTTTTTTCCCACACCACACACACACACACCCCAGGAAGCAGCCCGTGACAACTGACTAACTCCCAGGTACCTATTTACTGCTAGGTAACAGGGGCACTTAGGGTGAAAGAAACTTTGTCCATTTGTTTCTGCCTCGTGCGGGAATCGAACCCGCGCCACAGAATTACGAGTCCTGCGCGCTATCCACCAGGCTACGAGGCCCCCATTCCGTGTGTGTGTGTGTGTGTGTGTGTGTGTGTGTGTGTGTGTGTGTGTGTGTGTGTGTGTGTGTGTGTGTGTGTGTGTGTGTACTCACCTATTTGTGCTTGCGGGGGTTGAGCTTTGGCTCTTTGGTCCCGCATCTCAACATCAACTTGTGTACAGATTCCTAAGCCTACTGCATTCAATCATATCTACATTTAAAACTGTGTATGGAGTCAGCCTCCACCACATCACTGCCTAATGCATTCCATCCGTTAACTACTCTGACACTGAAAAAGTTCTTTCTAACGTCCCTGTGGCTCATGTGGGTACTCAGTTTCCACTTGTGTCCCCTTGTTCGCGTACCACCAGTGTTGAATAGTTTATCCTTGTCTACCCTGTCAATTCCGTGAGGATTTTGTAGGTAGTGATCATGTCTTCCCTTACTCTGTTTTCCTGTGTCGTAAGGTGCATTTCCCGCAGCCTTTCCTCGTAACTCATGCCTCTGAGTTCTGGGACTAGTTTAGTGGCATCCCTCTGAACTTTTTCCAGCTTCGTCTTGTGCTTGACAAGGTACGGGCTCCATGCTTGGGCCGCATACTCCAGGATTGGTCTTACATATGTGGTATACAAGATTCTGAATGATTCCTTACACAGGTTCCTAAAGACTGTTCTGATGTTAGCCAGCCTCGCATACGCCGCAGACGTAATTCTTTTTATGTGGGCTTCAGGAGACAGGTTTGGTGTGATATCAACTCCTAGATCTTTCTCTCTGTCCGTTTCTGTGTGGCTCTGTGGGCCCTTTCCATCCCCCCAGCCTCCCCCCCTCCCCCCCCCCCCCCACACACACACTTTCGCTCCGCACTGGTACATGGTTCTGTAGAAAGGTGTCCCCGGGTCACATGCGTACATCGCAGACTCATCTGCATGCCTCTATGATTCTGGTCCACCAATTCTCTCTCGTGAAGAGTAATGGACAGCAGACCCGCTCTCTCTCTCTGCGTGAGAGCGTGGTTTTCCGCTCCCCTTCCCTTCGATTTGGTTTTGTTTGTTCTCATTGGTTGACTGGATTCATTCTTGTTTATTTATGACGTTCTAGTCTTGTTGGTTGAGATGTGGCGTCTTCTTTCAAGTCGATGGCCGTCGAACAAGTGGGAGCTGAAAATCGATGAGGGAGGAGGGGCTTAAGAACTGAATCTCGACCCCTGCAGGCAGAACTACGCGAGTGCAAATAGATGTGTCTCATACTTCGTTGCACCTCACCTGCAAGGTACTGCCTGTGTTGCCCTATATGTCTGTTTTTCTACAGACTACATGGCCATTTTGTAGGTGAATCTAAAACAACAACATGTGTGTGTCCATGTCTCTGCGATCTGTGTTTGATGTCTCGTCCCGTGCTGTGCCCTCGCTTTGTTGGTCTGTGTGTTGCTGCTCCGGTTCCGTAGGCTTGGTCCCTTGCAGCGAGGCAGGTTCCGTAGGCTTGGTCTCTTGCAGCGAGGCAGGTTCCGTAGGCTTGGTCTCTTGCAGCGAGGCAGGTTCCGTAGGCTTGGTCCCTTGCAGCGAGGCAGGTTCCGTAGGCTTGGTCCCTTGCAGCGAGGCAGGTTCCGTAGGCTTGGTCCCTTGCAGCGAGGCGGGTTCCGTAGGCTTGGTCCCTTGCAGCGAGGCAGGGTCCGCCAACCGCCGGTGTTGGCCCAGACCTAAATGTTTGGCCCTGATATTATCCCCCTAATAAAGAGGCAATGTCGAGGCTCTTCGCAAGGTGGGTCAGAGGTGCCTGTTGGTGGTGGTGGTGGTGGTGGTGTGAGGCCCTTGAGAGGTGTGAATGGTGGCTCTCAAGTATGGGCTGTGTTGGTGTGCACTAGTGTGAGGATGGGGAGGCGGGAGGGGATGATGGAGGGAATTGGAGGAAGGTGGGAGAAAGGGAGAAGGGAGGGAAGGTGATATTTGAGGGGCGATTCATTCAGGCAGGCAGGCTAGCACTCCATTCATTCACTCATTCATTCACTAATTCATTCATTGATTCATTCATTCATTATATTCATTCACTTGCTAATTATAAAGTTTTAAGCATTTTCAGCTTGTCGTCTTAGTGTCGTCTTAACTATGTGTAAGTTAAATATTTAACATTCTAGCTGTGAAGCAAGTCATATTATGTACATTCTCCAACCCGTCATCCATTCCATCCAGCGGTCGACCCCACAGATGCATTCATAAGTTTTTACATGCTGTTCATTCAAAACGGGAATTTTCTCAATATAAATTAATATTATAATATATTAGCATATTGTGCATATATAGGCATAGGTTCGGTTAGGTTAGGTGTTTAGGTTCTGTTGGCGATTATTTGTATTTGTAGTACGTGGGTGAAGCATTTACAGCGTTGTGGTTCGAACAAAAGCCGTCAGTGAAGCACTTGTTCCGGAAGTGTTCAAACGAAATCAGTTGTGAATCGTGTGTAAACCGTTTATTATTCATCAACAAGGGGTTTGGCGGGTGCATGGAATGGACCCGGGCTTTGCACAATGGACTTTGGCCTTTGTTTGTGAGGACGGGCTTGGAAAAAGACGACCTCGCTATGACCCCCAAGATACAAGAGAGAGACGTCATTGTGACCCCAAGATAAAAGAGCTTGTTCGAATATATAATATACAATATATATATATATATATATATATATATATATATATATATATATATATATATATATATATATATAT